CTCCTGCCCTCCTGGACCTTAGTCACTATCTGGGACAGTTGTAGAAATTAATTTTTTATTTGCACTGAAATTAAATACCAGTTGTTGTACTGAATTGGTACTTCTCAAACTTAAGTGTGCATTAGGATGCTTCGTAGGGCTAGTTAAAATACACATTGTGTATTCCTTTCACTCTAGTTTCTGATTCACTAGGTCAGGATGGGGAGGGCCTGAGATTTATGATTCTATGAAGATTGTAGGTAATGCTGTGGCTACTGTGCTGGGGCCTCTCCTTTGAAAAACCATTCTGGCAAACCTTTCACATACATTTGCTCAGGTTGTGCCAGTGGTTTGAATCATTCAGGACAGTGGTAGGTACACGGGCTGAGACCCTCCCTCTAAACATTTTTTTAAAGTGAAAACTTGGTTTTGTCCTTAGGCAAAATTCTTGTTTCATAAAACCTAGGGTCTTTAAGAAAAGTCTTTAATATATATCTAAAGTCTTCTAGAAATTTAAAATCCTGATGCAATAATAGATGAAGTAAAACAGAGGTTTTTATTCAGCAGTTGCACCTGAGTGCCATTTTCTTCTTGAAGGTCCTAGGACACTTGAGCAGTAGTTCTCAAAGTGTTTGCCAGACTAGCAGTGTCATTATAAATGTAGAATCTAGGCCCTGTCCCTCTCCTTTTGAATCCAACATGTTGGAAGTGGGAGCCGGGAATCTGTCTTCACAAGACCTCAATGTGATTTTGATGTACACTCAAATTTGGACGTATCTGAGAATTGGGCTGAGTCTGAGTGAGGTCTTGGGCTTCTAATAGCCTCAGCTCCCATAAGATAATTTGCAAGGCTGAGTAAGCTTTGGTTTTTTTCTGTTACATAAGTCAAAACTCTTTCCCTTTTCCAGTGTCTTTCAGAGTTACTGGGAAGATACTCATACTTTAAAATAGTTTGACAAGTAAAGATAAAAATTCCTAACTAAACATAAAAAGCACTGATTTGGTGAATGAAATACATGATTTAGGTCATTTGCATTCTCATGTCCTACATGTATGCAGCTGTGTAACCTCTGGTTAGTTATTACCCTGTCTGAGCCTCACTTTCCTTATCCAAAAAGTGGTCAGAAAAAAATGCCCTCCTACTCTAACTTGAAGAGTCTTTGTAGTGATCAGATGGAATAGTGGATATAAATGTGCTTTTAAAATGTGCAGTAAATGCCTAATAGTTTCTCTGGTGTGAAAAACTATAATAGTACATAAGATCCTAATGAGATGATTGACAATGTGAAATAGGAAGAAAAGGGCTAAAGGTGTAGGGAAAGTGGGAAGGGTAGGGGAAAGGTAATAAGGGAAAAGAAAAAAATATGAGAAAATGAAAAAAATGTAAATAAAGTGTTCGTAAAGGGGGAGGGGTGGAAGGGGTGAAGGGAGGGCAGGGACAAGGGGAAAAAATGAGAAACAAGACCTGTCACGTAAAGGTACAAGATCCCAATAATGAATGTAACTGTACTGTATACCTAAAATGTACCAATAAACTCAATGAGGAAAAAAAATTAAAAAATAGAATGTGCAGTATTATGCAGATGCTATAGCTTGTGACTGTTCACCTTTAGTTTTGTGCTTCCTTATTAATAAAATGGGGATCATCTCTTTACTTATTGCTACATTGAGATTGTAAGTAGTTAAGTAAGTAGTTAAGATTGTAAGTAGTTAAGACAATAATAGCACAATTCAAGCTCTTCTAAAATAAAGTTTATTTCTGTTTGTGTTTTATCTTTAACAAAGATAGATTTGAAGGTGTAGAGATAGTATAAATATTATGTCTTATTATAGTTTCTACATAATACTATATGATACTTCTTTTTCTTGAACTGGTTGCATCTTATAGCATTGGTTCTCAGAGGGTGTTGCCTGAGCCTACAGCACCAGCAACCCCTACAACTTATTAGAAATAAAAATTTTCAGGCCCCACCCACACCTCCCCAATCAACAGCTTTGGGGGTATGCGTTCCAGAACCATGTGTTTTAACAAGTCCTGCCTGCATCCTGCTGTTCACTTTAATCCTAGAGAAAAGGATTTTATTTGGACCTTCATTGAAGAGTCTGACAAATATCACCTGAAAAAGGATGATCACTTCTCTTTTTCTCCGCACCAGTTTGTAACATGGGTGTCCCAAGCTTGGATGACCACTCTGGATTCCTTCCATAACACCCAGCACAGGGGAGATCTGGAATGCCACTTCAGGGCATTTGTTATGAAGCTGACTTCAGGGTGTGAGGAAATTAAAACTGTTTATCACAGACAGGAGAAATGATCCTTAGCCTAACAAGGCTTTAAACTGCACCCACTTACAGAAACGTGAAGCTTGACAAACGGAGTTTAAACAGACTTACATTTCTTTTGACTTTTCCCTTTAAAAATGAGCTACACCAAGGCAGTGGCACTTACTTAAGAAATATCAAAGCACTCATCCCAGTCTGTTCTGCAAGTTAGCAGATGGAATTGAAAGGTACTACAAAGGAGAGAGGGAGGGCAGGAGAGAAGAGAGAGGGAGGAGAGAGAGCCAGGGAGAGGGAGAGAAAGTACAAGGAAGCAATGAAAAGGAGAGATTATAGGCAACTCTAAAAGAGACACAGAGATTGAAATTAAGGAAGGTGGAAGGGAAGGCTAAAACAGAGGAGAACATAGGAAAATTGTGGTTCTATGTGCTGTTCCACCCAACACATGCCCCTCTTTGATGGCAAAACTAGAGAACTTTCAGTGGATTTTGATTTCCGTATACTTCTCATATTGTGATAGTCTTGTCCTTCAGAATGTGAGTTGAATACATTTTTTTACTAAGACGTTGCTCCTTCTTACAAATCCTTTTTCTCACCTGGTGCTCAACTGAGAGTCAGTTTGAAGGGAAAACAAACTGTGATGAAATAGTAAATGTACAGGCTCCTCAACGTGCCATTTCCTCAGTTCTGGCAAAGTGGATTGAATATATGTAATTTTATCTTTTGAGATGATTTATTCTACTGTATAACCTCATCTGTTTTAGTTAGAAAACATAGAATTTAGGGCTGGGCGTGGTGGCACACACCTGTAATCCCAGCACTCGGGAGGCTGAGGCAGGAGGATCACTGTGAGTTTGACACCAGCCTGGGCTACTTAGTGAGTTCCAGGTCAGTCTCAACTACATAGTGAGACCCTGTCTCAAAAAACCAAACAAACAAAAAAAACAAAAAAACAAAACAAAACCATAAAAAACATAGATTTTAAAGTCTTCTCTCTCTTGACAGGGAATTCTACATCCACTGAGTACTTTATTTTCAAAGAGTTCTGGAGTTAGTCAATATAAAGGTAATTTGTACAGATGAAGAAATTGAGTGAACATTTTTATGAAGTTTTCCTATACAAAGATGGTTTCATAAGCATCTTACTATTGAATCTTCATAGCTACTTGGCTTATGTAAATTGTATTGGACAAAAAGGAGCTCATTAAGTTTAAGAATCTCATCCAGACTTTTATATAGAAGATAATACAGGCAGATTTCCAACCTTGATTCTTATCCTCTTGGGAGAAAACAGAATAAATAGATTGAAAAACAGCATTTTGTATTATAATTTAGGAGAATAATTTTGTTTATGAGTTCAGAGAGTATTGCAAAGTCTAAAATGCTTGACAGGCTATGGGGAAAAAGCAACTGTTCTACATTGTTGGTGGGAATATAAACTAGTACAGCCACTGGAGATTAATGTGGAGATTCCTCATAAAACTAAAAGTAGGAATTCTATTTGAGGTATCCTCTTGAAAGAATTAAATACATTATATTACAGTGATATGCGCATACCCACGTTTATAGCAGTACAATTCATAATAGTTATATCTTTGAAGAGACTTATATGTCCATCAACAGATGAATGGATAAAGAACTTGTATTTATGAAACAAGTCAGATACATAAGCTTATCTTATGGTTTATCTTATATGAGAAACCCAAAATATAAATAAAGAGCATATTAAAAGATAGATCATAGGAAGTGGGGAGTTATATCTTTTTCACTTGGGAAGAGAATCAGCAGAAGGGGGAATAGGGAGGGAGAGGAGGGAAAGGGGATAAAATAAAGAATCAAGGTGTGTATGTACATATACTAATTCCCCACAAGGAATGAAATCATTATGTAATGCAAACCTGTGCTAATAAAAAACAAAAACTGGAAAAAAGACAAGAAAGAAGATGAGTAAAAACCTAAATAAGAAAGTAAGTAAATAAATAAATGTGCCAGTACTTTCTGTTGGTAGAGTATCATTATATAATTTATTCCTCTCCCAACCCAAAGATGTTTCTCTCTTTCTAGGTCTCCATTAAGAATTATAAAATTTATATTGCTATGCTTCACTGTGATCCATTCTTGTCCTTTCTTTGTTGGAGATGGTTATAAGAATCACTTCTACTTTAGTCACTAAAGATGTTGCATCAAGTAACTGGGGTTGTAGGACCAGCCAGAATGAAGTCCACTTCAAAAGCTGTCATAGCCTTTATAAAAGAATTGTGGTATTTCCCCCACCTTACCAAAATTCCTTTGGTATATATCCTACCCATTGTTTTTATCTCACTACTAACATTTTCTTTAAATAGAGACTTTGAGAATAATACTGACATAGTTTCATTAGAATTGACTCTGCTAAAAACTTTTTGTGTAATAGAGCCCCCCTGCCAAGGTATCTTGTCCTTCTTTTGCTCCTACATCTCATTCTTAGTAAGGATTAATTTTTCCAAGTGCAAGGACTTTAAAATAGATCATTTTTTTCTTGTTTCATAACTTTATTCTCCTACCTTCAAAAAGTAACTGCAAATGAAAGTACTCTTCCTTTCCACAATTGGTTTCATTTTGCTGAGTTCAGGAAGCTATCACTCAGCCCTACACTTGACTGAAGCTTTGTTAGTGCAAACAAACGTACACCTCTGGGAAAACACAGAGGATCCTAGCTTTGTATTGCAATGGCTGAGATAGTTACTTATACTTTATTTCAGAGATCCCAGAAGACCCTCTTGTGGCTGAAGAGTATTATGCTGATGTATTTGATTCCTGTTCTGAAGAGAGTGAAGAGCAAGAAGAAACAGTGTCCTTAGGACCAAAGGGAGAGGTCCAGGTTGAGGGATCTGAACCTACGTACAGAACAAATCAACAGGTACCGGCTATTTCCTGCTGAAAGTAGTGGAACTGCAAGAGTGTTGTACAGGGAAAATGGGATTTTTCAATATACTTGTTTACCTTGTAATCAGATTTTTGAGTCTTAATTATAAAAGTAATACAAATACAGTGGACTGTCGAGTTACGACAAGCCTCACATATGAACAATTTAGGTTATAACTGGAATTTTAGTTTGTTCTTATGACCAAAATATTGAGTTATGACCTGAATGTCATGGTTGTAAACAAAGACTCATGATGCCAGAAAAGCAAATGTAAGCATATGTGTCAGTATGAGCCCAGGTGCACGTATTTGTGGATGTGATCTTGGTCAGTGCTTTATACAGTTACTGCTATCAAAATGGCCCCCAAAAAGCTAGAAAAGAAGCTAAGGAAGGAAGGGAAGGTCAAGAAAGCACTCACAATCAAAAAGAAGAAGGAAATTGTGGAGAAATATGAGAGTAGTTTGTGTGACCAATCTGTCATATGTACAGCATGATAAAATCCAGAATCTTGACAATCTTGCACAGAAAAGATTTGTATAAGGAGCCGGGGATTTAGCTCAGCGGTTCGGTGGCCTGCCTTGCAAGCACAAGGACCCGAGTTCGATCCCCGGTACCAAAAAAGAAAAAAGATTTGTATACGGAAGCTAGTGTTGCTAAAGGTGTTAGTCAAATTAGTTTTTTATTATGAAAATATTACTTAAGAGGTGCTTTGGGAGATTCAAAACAAATTATAAGTATTTTACAACCACCTTGAATTACAACCAGCCCTTGTGCATAAATTGAGTTCATCATTCAAGGGCCCACTGTAACTAAAACAAATATTATTACAGTATTACAGAAATTTCATTCTGGAGCCAGGGATTTAGCTCAGTGGTTCTGCTGCCTGCTTCGCAAGTGCAAGGTCCTGAGTTCAATCCCTGGTACCAAAAAAAGAAAAAGAAATTTTATTCTGTGCCTTTTGTGAAAACACATGATATACAAAATACATACTCAAGTTTTGCTCACAGCATCAAGAGGTAAAATTTTATTTTCTATTGTAATTTAAGAGTTTAAAAAAATAAAACACAGCCAACTGAGCCACATGAATGAAATATATTGCAAACAGCCTTAGGTCAATAAATAGAACTTTGCCAGCCCTAGGAATACTACCAACTTGGGTATAATTGTTATAACAAAAGCTTGGAAATCAGATGTCTGGTATCTTTGTCATTTGCACTTTTATAACCTTGAACAAATTACTAAACTTCATTGTGCTTCGGTTTTGTAACCTGTGAAATGGGAGAATAGTCATTCTTACCTCAAACAGTGGTTTTAATGTTAATTAGTATAAAGTATTTAGAATAGTGCCAGAACTTATTTTTTACTTAATAAGCAACAATAATTTAACTGTTACTATTACAAAGTTACCCAACCATCATGTGTCCCTTTTATACTTCCAAAAATCTTTAATGTTAAAATGAGATTTTGCAATTTTATTATGAAAAAAACTCTCCTTATGTTGTAAGGCCCATGATAAATATAAGGTAGTGATTTTGTTCTCTGAGCTATGTATCTGTCACATGTTGTAGGACAGAGTTTGATTGACTTTAAATTAATCTGTTTAGGCAAGATGTTAAACCTTTGTATATCCATGATGGCATTTTGTCTCAATGAATCCAATTGGGTCATTATCCTTATTTTCCTGTTTTCCAGATGAAGACACTGTCTTAGTTACTTCTCTCATTGCTGAAACAAAATACCTGAGTCCCACAAGTTAAAGGAGGAAAGGTTTATTTTGGCTTACTGTTTGAGGTTTCATTCTATGGTTGGCTGGCTCCAAGGCAGGGTGCCATGGCAAAGGGACATAGAAGAGGAGAAACAGTCCATGGCAGGGCAGCCAAGAGGCAGTAAGCAAAGAAGCAGCAGCAATAGCTAGATTCCCTCTCTCTTTTATCTCATCCAGACTATAAGCCTTTTGGGCATTGCTACCCATTCCTAGTGTGGGCCTTCTCATTATCCACACCCATAACTATGCAAAACCAACTTAGTTATCACACACCCTTAATCCATATTCATACAACCTAGGTCCAACCACCTCCAAAAAGCCCCACCATGTGGCTTTGGGAGAATATCTAGATACAAGCCATAATGGTATCTGAGAGAGAAGTAACTTGCCTGTGGGTACAACAGCTACGGACATGTTAGAACCATGTCAGGGCCAAGACAGTCATATTCCTGAGCCAGTGTTTCCTCTACTACATGAGGTATATTGACCTAACATAGACTTGGTGTAATAGGAGTACAAATCACAATAAAGTAATTTGTATCGGAGACACGTAATTACAAGCCCCTTTGTTGATGTTGTTGTTGTTATTGTTCTTAGTACTAATTCAATATAAATTTTCGCTCCCCAAAAGTAGTTGGTGTGGGATTGTGATTGGTGTTGGTTCTTCCTTTTGGAATTCTTTTCTTAGCAACACAGTAATTCATTATACTTGCAAACTTAGCACTGAGACCCTAGTCACTGTTGACCTTGTGGATTGCAGCCATCTCTACGATATTACCTTCTTTCCTGCCCCTAGTCTTGCTCTTGACCCTGAACATGCTACGGTGTGCCTATGAGGTCATCATACCATGGCTGTTATGTGAGCAATCAGATTAAAGTTGATGCCTTTTTCTTCAGATGGGAATCATATTTTGATGGAGGAAGTGCTTTCAGAAAGAAAAACAGACTCAGATTTATTGTGATTAATTATTGAGTCCTTTTACCAACCCTAACAATCTTTTCAGCAGTGGTGTCTCAAAAACACAATTTTATTAAGTTCATAATTGCTATTGATTGCCAGTCATTTCTCTGCTGTGATAAGTGAACCATCAATAACACCTTCATCAAAAGCCATTATAATATTGTTGCTACCTTCTCTGTGAAGTTTGTGCTCTCCAAATTGGAACCAGCCTCTCAGATAAGAGGAGAATGGAGTTGATAGCCGCCATCACAGCAGGGTTCTCCATGGCACCACCTGTCTCTCAAAAGTGTTTTGTGTGCTCTAAAGGAGAGTTCTTAGGGCTTCAAGTTGGGTGTTTCATTAATTTTGTTGTCTTTCCTTTACTACTTTGACCACCATTTTCCTCTCCTAGACTAATATTGGCCCAGGTATATCTGTAATACACATACAAGGTCAACAATAATGACATGGCAGGAACTCGCTCAGCAAAGACTCTGCTTAATGAATGTGGTTTTCACTGAAGCTTTTGCTAAGAGGGTGCCTCAGAACCCTGCTGTTTGTTCTTGGTGAAAAGAATCACAGAGGACCATTTTTTCCCTAGGTGATTCAGAAGTTCTCAAATCTTTTGTCGATTTGAAATTCTCTCACTGCAGTGAAGCATTAGGAAAAATAAAGGTGTTCTTTTTTCTTGAACATTATCACAGGAACAGAGGACTGGATGAAGGGTAGGTAAGGCCTGAGGTTCTCTTGAGAAGCCTTGGATCAGACCATCATGAGGGGAGATGTCTCACAGCTTTGCTGTTAGTGGAGTCATTCTTTTAAATCAGATAATAATTATTATTACATTGATTGCTAACATTCCCAGAACATTCCTTGTGTCTCAGTACTTCGTATTTTGGGTTGGTTCTGAACCTCTGGGAGGCAGATAACAAGATATGCTTAGAAATGAAAGGGAAATACTTGTGAAATAGGTGGGTAGAACTGCAAATCATTTTGTGGCCATTTGAGGGGAAGAAAAAGAGGAAAAGGAGGAGGAGGAGGGAAGGAAGGAAGAAAGAAAAAACAGGAAGGGAAGAGAAGGAAGGGGAAATGGAAAGGAAAGGGAAGAGGAGGGAAGGGGAAGGGCAGGGAAGAAGGGGGAGGGAAAGACTGGCTAAGAACCTTGGACTGAAGTGACCTGAAAAAAGACTGCCAGGCTGATAGGGTACCCCAGGGGGACGTCTCTGGCTTCGGGGTTGCAGAATGTAGACTAGGCAGCAGTTGCCTGGCCCTGGAGTCCCTTGAGCTGGCACAGGTGTAGTTTAGAGAGCCGCGTGGGTGGATCCTCCTCTCCTACAAACCCTAGGTGGATCGTGGAGGCTGCCTGGCCAGGGGAAGTTCTGTCAGCTCCCTATGCTCCTTGTAGCAGGCTCTCTCCTGCTACACCTCATAGCTGCCACTGATGAAATATTTTATTTAGTTCTTACAGTGACTCTGATGCATGTATTTTAGGTGAACTGCATCAAACTCAAATTTAACTAGATGGATTCTAACAAGGGAGAGCATAAAGGTGAGGGATAAAGTAGAGTGGAAGAAAAGAAAGGGCTTGAGTCAGGGATTTTAGGAACTCCATCTCACTTTTCAATCAAAACATGAATGCTCCAGAGTAAGAATGAGCTGCAGGATGTAAATGCCCAGCGCCTGACTGCATCTCCATTCCTGTTCATCAGATTATAAATCTCTTGTTTTTTGAATTGTTGCCCTAGACTGACAGATTTAAAAATATGAGTTTTCTGTACAGCATAGTCCCTCAGTGCGAGTCAATTACCTCGTTTGGTGTTTGAAACAGAAATAGTAGCTAAGGATGTTTTGTACAATTGATTTTATCACAAGTGCTGACTTTAAAACTCATGCCCCTTGAAAGATGAAACTTCTGTGATATCCCAGCTTTGCATAGGAAGAAACTAAGGTTCAGGAAGCTGATTTTTCCAAACCCACAGAGCTCATAAGTAGCAGAGCTAAACTCTCTTTTAGCCACCCTCAAATAGTCTTTCCTCTGCACAGTGATAGTCCTTCCCCCACCACTGATGATTCAGGAAATTTATTAGGAGTGAGGGAATAGTTGGGGCCATTGGATTAGCTGACACTATACCAAGACCTCTTTTACGTAACAGAATTACTGAGCTATGTAAAAGGCAAAAGTTTTACCAGTTCTAGGAAAAATGCTGAATTGTGAAAGTTAATCTCTTATATGAAGCAGATTTCTCCTTCTACTGTGCCTTCTTATAGAAGATGCTAAAACTCTTGAAT